AGCCGCCCTGGGAAGGCGCGTCCGGGCACTCCCGCGGTCTGAGGTCGGAGTGGGGAAGGAGACGGTCCCTCGACCTGGCGCTTTGTGCATCGCGCAGGCCCCGGGGTACGGTGGCCAGGGAGAGCCTAGAGACCTTTGCCTATCCCGCTTGGGAAATGTTTCTGCTGGGCCCTAGTGGATAACTTAAAGACTCCCCTGGAGGTGTAGGTAGTGCCAGCGGGATGGGTTTTGATGTTCTAAGTTAATTACTTTTTGTTCTATCAATGGCAGGTTGTAATAGTTAAGCTCTTCTTGGGCTGTCATCTCTCATACCACTGCAATATTTGGAGCAAAGTGTGCTCTGTTTGAGGTTCATGATTTACCTGTGGAGTGGGTTAGGAACACGAGAGACAAATGCCCCAAGAGCGAGAGCTTGAAGGTGATGCCGGGCCCTAAGTAAGGGTTGTGTGTCTGATGTCAATAGAATGTAACAGAAACTTAAAAAAAATCTGCAGGGGTTACAATTCTAGGTCTGTAAATGTGGGAATTGTAAGCAGAAAAAGCTTGAACTGCTTGGCACTTTCCTATGTAAATGCTAACCTCATTTTGGAAAATTTCATAGTTAGCAAAGTTTTTTTTAATAGCAAATCTGTGGAATAGAGAACACATTTTCTTCAGTTAACTTTTGGCCCCAGGCCTTAAATGCCGTGGAGATAAGAATCAGTATTTTGAACCTGATGTTCTGTGAGCAATGTTTCAGACTTGAGGTCAGATTTGTTTATCTGCTGTTCCTGAGGTGTGTTATGTAGTTGCGTGTCAGTCAGGCTGCCGGTGGCTGCAGGCTGTTACGCCCAGGCATGTTGCATATCTGTAGCCTGACCCAGAGCTGACAGATCTGAATAACAGAGGCCAGCTCGATGGTCTGTAGTTAATTCATGATAATATGGGTATGGTGAGGAGATTGGTGGTGTGTCTCAATTTGAAAGACTGCTCTCATCTGCCTCTGCTGCCTGAGTTTGTGGACTCTGTTTGACATGACCAGGAAGATAGTTAGCTTTCCAAGTGTAATTTTTTGGGAAAAATGTTCATATCTACATTTTTTTCCCAACACAAAATAGTTAAACTGTGCTTATGGCAACTGAAGAAACATTAACATACGCAACTGTTTCTGTCTTCTTCCTGCCAGGCAGAAACGGGCATGCCTGTGCAGGAGTGGAGGCAGTCCTGATCCCGGAGGGTGGGGATCCCAGTGCCACCACGGCACGTGATACGGTGACACATAATATGTTAGCCAGGGCTAGGGAAGGATCTTCCCATCTTCTCTCCTCCTGATGTTGGGTGGTTGGTATGTGGAGGATGTTAATGTCTTAGATTCTGTTTACACCTCAAAGCTCGCTCTTGGCAACTGTAGCAGAGCCTGCAGCTCTAGGTAATACCTAATCAGTAATTTGTCTTATATGAGGAGACGATTTATTCCTGGAAGTATAAGTAAAGATGCCTACTTTGTTCTGATTTTTTTTTTTCCCCCTGGTCCCCATTGTATTTGGAGCCTCTCCAGAGGGCTTATCTTTTTTCCTAGGTGCAGTTCTATTTGTAATACCAAGCTCCATGTGGCAAAGCTAACATGTCTATAGTGATAATGCCAACATTCATGTGAATGTATTTTCAGTGTCCTTGGCGGAGGGGGAAGAGGGATCTGCCTATACTGGTTTTTGATTCTTAGTTTCTTGATTTCTGGTACACTTGTTGGGTCTAGGTGGCATGTTTAAGAAATCTTGCGGAGGAATGTGCGTAATAGTTGGTTTCTTTGGAGGAAATAAGAGCTTCCTTTTCAGTTCCTCATTCTACACACATCACAGACAGGATAATTTTTCTTTAGCCCTGGTGAAGCATTTCAGTTCTGTAACCCAAGGAAAAAAATAAGAGTAGATGAAATCTCTTCTAAAACTAACTACTTGAAGTGCATTATCTTCTGTAGATCTTGCGTTAGCCTTGGTGTAAATGGATCACAGTTACTCAGAGTGGTTCCTTATTGGGATGGGCAAAGCTGCTGTGGGAATTTTATCTCGCCTGCCCTTCCAGCTTAGAGATGCTCACAGGCAGGCGTGAGGTGATGTGGGGCTCATTCCTTCCTGCTGTCTAGAACTCCCTTAAAAGAAGTCCTAAACGCTCAGTTGTTTTCATACTTGGTAATGGCATCTTTTAAGCGATCTCTGTGGACCTGTGCCTGCCTGTTCTTGTCCTTTCGGTGTGTGAAACCTATGGAGGTGGTGTCTGACATCCTGCAAAAGAAAACAAACAAACAAACAAACAAAACTTTGCAGCTGAAGTAGTTTCCTTGATGCTTCTTTTGACCTGGCTGGATTTTGTTACGCTGAATATGATAAGAAATATGTTCTAGGGTAATGCTTGTCTTTAATGGCAGGTACTGTGGCTTGTCTGAATTCTTTACAGGTATATGAAAGCTGGAGGTGTTTTTAAGCTGACTCGGGAGCCTTAAATGCAGGATTGCAAAAAATGTCTGCATCATACCGCGTTACTTTGAAACATGTTATACAGCAGTTCAACCCAGGGGGAATGTAAATAGTTCCAGTTTGAGGAATAACCGTAAAAAACTGGGTGTAGCTTTTAACACAAGCACTAAATTTTGTGTAACTTCTTCAGCCAAACGGAAGTTAAGGTGTTAGAAGGATTGTCCTATTTTGAATCTATTTTGAGGTTTTTAATTACTTCATGACTCAAGAAGCTTTAAAGAAGTTCCGTGAGGGAACGTCTAAAAATTTCACTTTTTGATGAAATAAATATTGTACATAACTTAAGAACACTTTTTTCAATAGACCTCTTTTCCAGCATATTCCTTACATGCAGAACCTATGTCTCTTTTGGCATGAAGTGATACGTGATGGCCATACTTAGAGCCAAATTCTGTTTGCAGTTATGGCTGCATCCGTAAAGTACAATATTTTTGTGTGTTTGCTTGTAACATATTCTTGTGGCTGAAAAAGTGTAAGCTGCTACGTAATAAAAATGGGGAACCCACTCAAATCTAAAACTTCATAGACGTCTGCATACTTGTCTCTTTTTTTCCCTGCAGGCTGTTGTATCTGTTCAGTGATTGAAATGGTTCTAAAGGGATGGACAGTGTTGATGCAGAAGTGTGTTCATATTAGAGCCAGAATTTCTGACGTGGCTTGGACTTTGCAGGGCTACTTAGCTCTTAAGTTGAGCAAAAGCTCAGTGTACGTACAGATAAGTTTTAGAAACTTTACCAGTTTTCTTTACCAGAACTAATGTGTTCTCATGAATTCTTTCTAAAGATGTGTTTCTGCATCTTCTCAACCAGCACAAAGTGAACAAGGAGATTAATTGGATTAGTTAAGGAAATCATGTCAGGCTGGGGCTGAAGTATTTCATTCTCCTGTTTTTTTTAAATACTGTTATTCAGCGGCATTTGTGTCCTGTTAAGACCTGGTGGTTATCTAGGGTAGTTGAGAAATAGTCTTAATTTCTAATTTTTTAATTTTTGACCTGTTAGAGCTGGTATTCTGAAATAGTTAAAAGAACTATTCAGTACATTTGTTGGAATGCACAGAGGCTTTGAATTTGTTTTGTCCAAAAACTGTATTAATTGAAGGAGAAAAAAAGGGTTGTTGGGTAAGAGTCATTGACCTGAGTCTTTAGTTAGATATACAGGATTATTTTGTTAAAATTCTTCTAGTGTAAGACTACAAATATGATGGGTCAATGTATTATTTGACTTAAAGGTGTTTAAGTAGTATAGTGTGCTAAGGAGAAAATAAATAGGGTGGACGTCTGGTCTGGAGCATCATGAGGAGACAGAGTGAGGCTTGGTCGGCTTTAAAGAGATTCAGCTTATGAAGTCGAAAACTTTGGTTACATTGGATAAAGGTGGGAGAAAATAGTGGGTCTTTGTGACATAATTTGTCTGCTGTTAGGAAATCTTTGTTACAGTACACTATGTAGCACTGGTACCGTGTGTACCAGCTTTGGTTGAAAGGTGTACAGTTTTGCAAATAACGTGAATGGATGAAACTTTGCAAGTTCTGATTTAGTTTTAAGAATGTAACAAGTTATGTTCCAAGAGGTGGTATGACATTGATCAAATGCCAGAGTAGTTAATGTGTGTGATTATCTTTCTTTGCTTGCAGTGAAGGTGAACGACCAAGCCAAAATGAAAAAAGAAAAGAGAAAAGTGTCAAAAGAGGAGGAAATCGCTTTGAGCCATATGCTAATCCTGCTAAAAGATACCGAGCTTTTATTACAAATATTCCGTTTGATGTGAAGTGGCAGTCTCTGAAAGACCTGGTCAAAGAGAAAGGTAATGTACAACTCAGGTGGCCAAGTGATGTCTGTCATCTTACTTGTGGCTGACTTTGTTTGTAAACTTAAGAGTTGAAGTTCTGGGTGGACTTAGTGACATGAGTTTTGTAAAAGGTCGTCTTGAAGCCTTTCTGGGTGTTGCACAACATCTGCTCCCTGGCAGCCTTCCAGATGGATAGTTCCTTTATAGGCATGTTGGCATATAGCTAATAGTGCTTCATCGGAGATATAAAAGAGTATTCTTCTTAGGGGGGAAAAATGAGGCTTTTATCAGATTTTAGCCTTGACATGCAACAAAACGTTCTGAAGCATTTTAATGTCTTTTGGGTAATAAAGGTAGTTATTTACTGCTGATCTGGTGTGTGTATATATAGCTGTGTCCCCAAACTTGGTAGTGATTTGTGCTTAGATAAAGATCCATACTGCCATTTGATAGCAGTAAAATGTATTTAAGGGTGACCTGCAAAAAAGGAAAATCAGGTTTGTGCTTTGGCATGTGCTGCAACACAGTTAGGGCTTTGGAAATCATGTTCATGGTGTTCCCCCCTTCCCCACATCTATTTAACTGTCCCATGTGAATGGGAGCCGCCTTTGTTTGTTGACCTTAGCATCTTCATCTCTTGAAGAAGATGAAGAAATTGAGCTGACTACTCTCAGGTGGTGACAAGTCTAAATGTAGTGTTTTTTCTTTAAGCTGATGCCCAACTTACTAGTTTTCAAGTCACCTTGGAAATGCAGCGGAGTGGCAAGAAAATACTTGATTTCTCCATCATTAAAATGTCTCAAAACAAGTTAAGAGTAACTAATGCAACCATTCCTCTTGTGGGTCACTTCTAAAATACATAGCATCAGTCATAAATGTCTCGCAAAATAGTGATCAGTGTTCACTTGTGTTTGAACTAGGTAAGGGATGATAGTTAATGTGTTTACAAGGTGTGGCCTAATGAATGGGAAAACTAATTTCCAAAGGGTTTTAAAATGTTTGTCTTTGGAGGCAAAATGGAACTGAGTCTGCGTAATGAACTTCAGGACTATAAGCCCTGGGAAACTTCCATAATTAGCGGCTGTGCAATGTTGATGCTTGAGATTCAGCAATGGTTTTCTGTAATATGAAGAATTACAGTCTTAAAGACTGCTTTAACAGGCCCTAATTATGAATGGTCCCTTGCCTTAAACTATGCTTTCACTTTGCTACACAAGATACATTGGTTAATAGGAGTATCTGTATGTGTAGATGTCTAATTTTAAGTACTATGTTGAATTCCGTTCCAAGTGTCTTGTGGTTTCTCTCCAGTTCACGTGGATGGAAAAGTCCGGTGTGAGATTGTTTCCTGCCTTGCTGTTCAGCTACTCATTCCAGCAGATACTCCTAGGGGAACATTGAAACCTCTTCATTCTGTCTGCAGGGCTTGTTATGCTAAACATGGAGAAGCATTGTTCTTGGTTTTTGGGACTGCTTGTTCAAATACAACAGTTTAGATTTGCTGTGTAGTTGCGATTCATTCTAATTAGTCACTGATTTCTACCAAATTGGTGCTCTTGTGCTGTGCTTGAAGTTGCTCAATCGGTACTTCTTGATACAAGGCATAGTAGTTCCAAGAACCAGGAATGTGACCGTGGAAAAATCTAAACGTTAGAATTCTTGGTTTGTAAGTGTAAGAATTACAGGCCAAACGTTCAAGGTTTTGGGAGCACGTGAAACGGATCTGTACACAAAGGGTAAACATAGGCGTTTCATGACTGCTCCATCACTTGGCAGTCGTGAAGACTTAAGCTGTTAGCAGCAATGGCATAGCAGGTTGCTGAACGTAGGAGGAGTTCACCTCAATCGGCTGTTTTGCGTCAGTAAGTATGGTTTAGGAGACATGAGCTTTGAGGTCTGCTCATATTTCTGCAACCTGGTTTTTTCAGATGCGTACATCTGAAGTCTTCTAAAGGTGACATCTCTCTCAAGAGTAATGCCTTGGTTCAGTCATTTCAGTGTATTTGTTGGTGAAACTCAATTACAGGTATGCAGTATGACATAGTTATTAATGAAATAAAAAAATGTTCTTGTTTGAAACTCCCTTGTATTGGCTGACAAACACAAGGTTCTACTAAACTGACGTAATCAGCATTGATAACTGGCAATTGGTGAATGGCTTCAGGAGAAGAATGAGGCAGCAGTTCTTCAGCATGTAAGTGGAGTCTAAATGTAAACATGATTGAATGCTAAATAGCTGTCTTAATCTGTCCCCCAACGAATGGCACTGTCTTAGGGAGAAAAATAGTAATGCTTCATGGCAGCTGGCGTAAGTGAGGTGATACCATATGATAAAAAAGAACTTGTATTTGAATTTCAGATATTTATCAGTTCCTTTAGGAAATACAGAATTTTGTATTTTAAACCTTTTTCCTGACCAGAGTAGCAAGATGGCATACAATACAAGGAGAAAGATTAGCTGTAAAATGAGGCAATAATTATGTTCTGCTCTGTTGCAAAGCCGGGAGCAGTTGCAGTCAAGGCCGGGCTCATGTCACATTCAAAGATTCCAGGACACCCCAGGGACTCTTTGTGTTAGCGTGGTTGTACCCACGTTTATGTAAGGCAGAGCTGTAGTATGGAGCAGGCATGCTTTCCTCTTCATGTCAAAACCTGGATGTGTGAACAGATGTGAGGAAAAGAAGCAACAAAGCTTTCCCAGCTTAAACTTTCTGTGAAGAAGAGCAGCTGTTAAATTTCGGGTGCTGCCTTCTTTCTTGCTCCATCTGCAGAAATTTTTGGAACCTTTGTGGTCTCCTAAAGACATAACTCATGCTCTCTTGCTATTGTACTCGGTCCCAAATGTTAGTTGAGCACTTTTGTTACTTTGGTACTAACAGCTGTTACTCCAGTACTTGAAGACAGTTGTTACTGGAGAGTCCCCTGGATTTCAATGCCCAAGATTCTGTCACAGTGTGCCTGCAGACTGAAGTTTTAGGTGGGCAAAGAGAAAAGGATGAATAAGCAGTGTGGAAGTGCTGTTCCACATCTGACTTGCTCCCCCTTACTTTCAGTAGATGTGCTAATGAGTTGCTCTATTTTCATTGGCCTTAACCGTCTTTTCAAGGAGGCACTGTCCTTCATCAGTAGCTGCAACCAGCTTTTTTACTCCCTCTTTCCTGCCTGGGCTCTTAAAGAGCCAAAATTACCCATGTTTTTTTCCGGGTTCTCTCGTACAAAAGTGAGATTTCCCTTCCCCTACTGTAAAAGAATAGCTTGCGAACTCTTCTCTGTTTCTACTTTGGGAAGAATGGTTTTTTCCTCCCCTTTTAACTAAAGCTTTGTACATGTATAAAGTTTGTTTCTCTTCTCTCCCCCCAGCCCAAGCCCCCCATGTAAGTTTTTAGAGGTTGCCTTCATGAGCTTTAAACACTGTAAATGAAGGAGGAGCTGTGACCAATTCTGAATTGCCTCAGGTTGAAAGTATTAGGCTTTTGATGGCAGGATCCTCTTGAATCAGTCACATTGCTTGTAGTTCTTTACTTCTGAAGATGATGGGACATCCGTACAGTTTTGGTGATGTCTTGAGAGGCTTCCTTCTGTATTTAGTATTTACTTTCAACCCTGTAGGCCGAAGAAATTATGATATAAAGCATTTGCCACTTTTTCAGTTTCTGTGCTTTTCCTTTTGCTGAGACTTGCCTCTCTGCACCTTTCACGCCTTTCAGAGCTTCTTGGTTTGTCGCTAACAATTAAAATCATATTGCCCAACTTTAGAATCTTCAAAGTTGACATCTACGTCTAAGCTTGTTATCATAGTTATGTTCCCATGTATGTCTTTAGGGCCATGCCTCGAGTCACCATATGGACGTTCCTATCTGAGCTTCCTGAACAGTCATTGGAGAATATCTGAATGCTGACAGACCAACCTGGCTTGAATATCTTAATTTTCTGTGCAGATGAACTTTGGGAAGTGGATTGGGGGGGGGGCGGGAAATGACTGTAATGATAAGTAACACTGGAGATTCTGTTGGTTTGTTTTTCTGGTTATTGCGATGATTTCTGTTTTAATCTCTTTAAGAAACATCGAGTTTCTGAACTTTCTCAAGCGTGAGGCTTAAAAAACCAAATAAATCAGCCTGCTCTAAGTAAAGTCTTAAAGACACCATGGGGAACATGTTTCTTAATTATACTTGCATTGACTTAGAGCTAGTATTTTCTGCAAGTTTTATCTCCCTTTGGAGGCTGGTCCACTAATAAACTTAAGTTTCTTAAGTAACAATCTCTTGTGCTTGAATGAAATTTCTTCATTTGTGGATATAGGATATGTTTTCTGATATAAGCCAAGTGTTCTCTAGCAGAAAGAAAATCTGCCTGGATCACTGTGCTTTTCTTTTGCCCTCTGAAGCAGGTTTAGTACGTGGATATCCGCTGTTGGTACTTTTCCATGGCTTAATTGCCTATGCGCTATCGTAGGCTACCCTTGTCTGCTATTCTGCTTTATCCCCAGTGCCTGATGTTATGATATACTGTGGTTTGGGATCCAGAAAAAAAAAAAAAAAACCACAAATAAAACGTGACCCAGCATAGGTTGTTAAAAAAAAAAAAAGTTTCCTTTGCCAGCCTCAAACAATAGTCTCCTGGAAGAAGTGTCATGTTGAATCGTTTCACATATTTTTGAAGTGAAAAAATGCATTTTTATTGCAGTTGTTCTGTACTCTGGACTTGGTGTCTTGGATACTGAGCTTTACACTGTTTGTGGTGTTCCCTTCCCCCTTGCCTTTTTTTAATTTGGCTATTCAGGAAGTTCAGATGTCCTTTGAAGGAAAACAGCTGCTTCAAGACGTATATTTAGTTTTTAATATAGGTGTCTATAAGGCTTGAATGTGAAGCACTGAGCAAAATTGGCACATGCTAGATTTTCCAAGTGACAAACAATTGCTGCTGTGATAGACTCCTGGAAATCTTGTGGTTCAGAGGTCAGAGATTTGTTAAAAGAGTAAATGTTAAATCGTATTTAATATGTTATGTTTAAGCTTGGCAAACTTCTTTGGAAGTGTTTGTGTGGATCTGAAGTAAGAATTGTAGCTGAATTCGATTAGTGGTTGGGAGAGGAGAGTCCTCAATCCAGGGGCTCAGTAGTGTTATTAGGAGCAAAGTCACAGGCTTCTAACCTGTGACTTCTGGCCTCTGTGAAATGGAGTGGTTTTGTATTGTAGGTAATCTGGGAATTTGTTGTCTTACTACCTAAATTGTTGAATCACATTTGCATTCTTGATCAAAGTTTGGTTGGACTCTGGCTGCTGCTGTTGAGATGGATGGCTTCAGAATGTCTTGGTAATGCTGAATATTTGGACTTGGTGCACGGCTGCCATGTACCACCAAGGACTACTCCGGAAGGGCTGTTTACAGTGCAGTCCCTTTCACTACACAGAATGTGGAAACAATTCCATGTATACTACACGATCTCATACTATTCAGATTATAGGATGGAATTAATTTTGTTAGGCTTTATTTCAAGAAGTATTGTTTAGATAGTGAAGCTATGTATAGTAATTGAACGCTCCGATCTGCCCTGTCCCTTTCAAAGGGACTTGCTTGTTAGCCTCTCCAGTCTCAAACACTATAAAAACATGAATGGATCAGAATTTGTTTATTCTGTCTAGCTAACTGTTCTTTGCTGGAATGCTGATATTGCTAAATTATTTTTTTAAATAAGAAATGGAGATTAAAAAAAAGTAGTGATTTCATTAAGCATTCCTTTTCTTCCAGCTTTGAGAGGGACCTTTCAGGATGTTCATTTTGCATAATGACACTAGGTGTCCTATAAATGACTGGTCCTGTGGGAGGTCAGGCTGAACACTGTCCCTTGCTAAGAGGTAGACTCTTGAGTGTGAGACTCCAGTTGCTCAAAGTATGCTATCAATATTCAGACTGGGTTGTGGTTTCCCGTGAAGATTGTTTTCCACCTTTCAGATAATGCAACTTGGAGTCCTCCTGTCTTAAACTTAGGACTTCTAAAACCAGAAAGAAAAAGTAAAAAAATGTTTTCTTCGATGATTCTTCTGTATGCCAGTCACTTCAAAGGCAGCAGCCATTTCGGTAGTTGTATTCTGGAGGTACATGATATGGTTATGTGGTCATAAAAAGGCAATCCTAATCTTGTGAGGAAAGGTGCAGGTGTAGTTTTCCAGTGCGTTTTGCCTGTTGCTGTAGATGGTTTTGTCTTGAGAGCAACTATGGCAGACTGTTTAATACCACTTACTGAAGCTAAAAAATTAACTTTTTTATTGTGGCTTAACAAAAGGCTAAAAAACTGCTGAAATAAATAGTAGGCAGTTAGTGATCTCTTGGTCTCTTGGTTCAGTCTGACTCCCTTTTTGGAAGTTTGTCTTGAAATCCGGAGAAGAGCAAATAACTGTTCAAGTTCTGCACTATGGAGACGAGATTGCATACTATGTAAAGTAAAGGAAACTTTTTCTTGCAGACTTTCCCATGGATTTGGATTGCCTCAAGTAATGAGTGGGTACTAAAGATCAAGGAAACTGATATTGTGGAAATAGCTGGCTTTTGAAGTGGAGGAAAATCAAGAACATGTTTAACTGTTTTAAGACTTTACTGCATACCTGTAATTGTCCAGTTTTGTGGTCTAGAGAACATGGAGTGTTTCTGGGCTTTCTTATAAGGCAGAGGCTCCATACACGGTTGTTGATTGTTCTAAATTCCCATTGTTTTCTTGGCTTTTCTCCCTTGGTATATGTGTCGTCTGGAATCTGATTTGTAGTTGGTGAGGTAACATACGTGGAGCTCTTAATGGACGCTGAAGGAAAGTCAAGGGTAAGTGTTTGAGAGATTTCTTCTGTGGATTTTCTACATGACAAATGTAACTGTATGGTGGCGTGGAACGAAACGAAGTCAGGAAGGTAGAGAGTGTGTATACTTAGTGGCTATAATATAGGATTGCTTAAAGCTTCTTTTGGGGTGGGGAGGAGGTGGGATGGGGCCTTGTAAACAGTGTTAGGGTGGTCTTCCACTGTGTTCAGTTGGCGTTGGCTGTTTGAATGACCCATGGACCCTAGCAGTATGTATAGTGGTACGGAATATTAAAGTAATACTTGTGTTTTGGAAAACGTCACTGTAGTGGTTTGCTGAATTTGTAAGGCCAGTGTGCAAAAGCAGGTTCTGTAAACTACACTTCCTGTGCCAGTAAACAGAATTCAATTCCTAAATGTAAATGTATATTGCCTTCATAGGGAATCAAGTCCTTTAGTCCAGCGACAGTTTTTTACAAGGAAAAAATAGCAGGAGCACACTTAACTGTACTGAAGGATATGGATTTAGGGTGAGAGAATATGGCAAGGGTTTTGCTGTATGACAGAGAAGAACAGGTCACATGAAGCGTGTGGTATTTTTCTTGGAGAATCGGGACTTAGTTCTGTTTGTTACAACTTCAGAAACTACAGTTTAATCCTGTTAACGCATAAGAAATTATATCTTATGGATTTCAAGTATTGAAGGCTTTATTGGGTAAGATTACATTTATTTTTGCTATTAGGGCTAACTAATATGATTTGACTTTAAAAAAAAAAAGCGTTTTGTGTGTGTTTTGTGCTTTTACTTACTTTATTTCTTCTTTCTTCCCTCCTCTCTTTCCTGTTACTCGCCTGTGAAATCATCTCATCAGGGATGCGCGTAAGTTCACTTACGAATTTATAGCAAGAAATGAGGAAACTCTTAAAAAATAAGCAATGTTCTTAGATGTCTTGTATCCCCACAGTGTTGTTGAATTCAAGATGGAAGAAAGCATGAAAAAGGCTGCAGAGGTTTTGAACAAGCATAGTCTTGGTGGAAGACCATTGAAAGTGAAAGAAGTAAGACGTGCATCTGTTCTTTCAGTATGTTGAATTTGAAGGTGAAGGGGTAGTTCTTAGTCAAGATTTACAGCTGACTCATTTGCAGATAAGAATAACTGACAAAAGGCAGGACTCATCAAATAGGGTTTAAAAAAAGTCAACCTTTTTTACCATCAGCATGTACTGCTGAACTTGAGTTTGAACGTGATTATCAAGACTAAACTTGATTTAAAGAATAGGTGCTGATGGTAGCAGTGCAGAACTTGGACAAAGCAAGAATTTGGCTTTAACTGCAGGTATACTTTCTTGTTTAGTGATTTGAAGAAGAAACCTGCATAAGTATTGTTTGTTCTTGACTGCCTTCCCTTTTAATTCTGCATCATAATGAATGTATTCTACAAACAATTCTGTAGAATAAGCTGGTTTCTGAAATACTTCAAAGATTTATTTCCATTTTAATGGCTTTGCTATTGTCAACCAGTATGACATGCTTAAGTGTACCATGAGTTAATTCTTAACCATTGACAAGTTTAAAGTTTTATTCCAGCAGTTTGGAACCTGTAGCTGCATTGAAAGTTCAATTAAACAAAAATAAAAAGAGACTGACTTCAGTGTTAGCATTGACTCTTGGCCTTAGGGTAAGTGAGCTACGTTCTTGGCTAAGCAGGCTTCATGCCCTGCCCACTTAATGGTGGGGGGTGAAAGACGTCTGCATGAGTTTAAGATAGAGCATGTGTGCAGAAGGTCTGCCCTTAGCAACCCATTTCTTGCTGTAGTCTGAGGAGCACTTGGGAAGAAGGATGGGGACAGCAAGTGGCAGCACTTCTCAGTTCTGGCAGATTTTGTAAGTAGAGTAATGAATTCTGGGGGCAGCCTGCTTCTGGGTGCAAGCCATCTTCTGGCACTATTGACCTCTCGCTACCCTTTAAAAGAAGGAAGAGGTGAAGTGGAAGGTTAGAAAAAGAGTTGCACCTGGAAGTCATCAGGCACTGACTTCTCTAAGGGGACCTTGGAAGAAAAAGCTCTTGAGTGGGCCATGTCTGGGTCAGTTTTCCTGTTAATGATATACTGTTAGTACTGGAAGTCAGGTTGCCCTTTGGTATCAGTCCTTGAGAAGAGGTGGTTGTAATTTGCCCAACTCTTCATGAAACTGTTGTCATACTTGAATATTTCTGTCTGTATGACACAGACAGAACAGAAATGATAGTTGAAATCGGTGAAGAAGCATTTTACCAGTATTAGGGACTTTAGCAACACTTACCCCAGCCAAGTGCCCCAGTCTGACTGTGTGGAATGAATTAAGTTATCGTGGATGCCCATTAGCATCAGTTTTGCCAAGTGTCTGGTACATACCTCTCCTTGTTGGCTGTCTCATTGCTGAGGACCATGAAGGCCTTCAAATGACATCATAAAAATTTATGGCAGAATAGATAAAGCCCTTTGCTTGATCAGAAGACTTTAGTTTGTATGACAACCACTCTTGGCTTTCTATTGGAGCTAATCTGGTTTTAAGCAATACCTTATTTTAACAGTGAAATAGGAAATTTAAATTGAGAAGTGACTTGTATTCACTTTAATGTGTTCTCCACCTCAGACTGCTATGATTTTCTGTAGCTGAAATAATCATATGAAAGCTATCCTTTCTCCTGTTTCCAAAAATGTGCTATTGTTTAGTCTTAAAATTCAGATCAAGATTCAAATTAACTCAAATAGCTTTTATTTTTAAAGCATCTGTATTTCTGACTAATTAATTCTATTTGACATTTTACTTTCTTCAGCAGTCTTGCAGTGCTGGTGCATTTTGCTCACTGAATACAGTGTGACGTTTCCAACCTAAGTAACATAAGTTCACCTTGTATTGTGAAGGTGCTTACGTTCACTTTCAGTATAAAGTGAACTGACAATAATTAATCTTATTTCCTTCCTTGAATTCTTCATCCTATACTTCATGTTCTCTAGCATGTCCTAAAATCGTGAGATTATGTAGTAATAGGGGGATACATTAAAAGGTTTTTTTGGGTTAGAAAGCCAGCGTGGGGAAGAAAAAACCATTGCCCAAACCAATCTTACTGAGATTTTACAAACTGTATCTTGTCTTGTGCAAGTCCAAGTGCAAGGTAGATGAATTGTTGCATTGTTTTGAAGATGCTGAGAGTTAGCTGGCATTTGTTTTCCAAAACTTTCCCAATGCCATTCTGGGTTTATCAGTCTTTGGAACAGATGTAACTGTGAGGTTTATTGTTGGTATTGAATAATAGATAAACACTTTCAGCATCAGGGGAAGTGCATGAGTAGGAGTAGCTTGCTAACTTGAAGGGTGCTGGCATATTGGTTAAAAGAAAATAAACTAGTGGATGGCAATGATATGTGAAGTAGTTGGCTGGAGATCTATAGGGACCAGATAGTCCTGTATAAGGGGAAACCCCTTCTTCTTTTGACTGTTTTAGCCATGCATTTAGTGGAGTACAGAGGGAACCGAGTATGTTGTTTCTGTTTTTGCAGGATCCTGACGGTGAGCATGCCAGGAGAGCAATGCAGAAGGTCATGGCAGCAGCTGGTGGAATGGGTATTGGTCCAGGCCCGGGCGGCCCCGGCATGATCAATATCCCGCCTAGTATACTCAACAATCCCAACATACCTAATGAGATCATTCATGCCTTACAGGCAGGGAGACTTGGAAGCACTGTCTTTGTTGCAAACGTAAGTGCTGCGTAATCTGTGAACAGAATATCTGGATCTTAACTGAGTTAAATCTAACGAATTAGAAGAAAAGCCTTAGACTTTCAACTCTATTCCAGTAAAACTGAGTAGTAACTTGCTCTGTGGCTAGTCTTGTTGATTCTCTGTGCTAGTGAAGGTGTAAATTAAGATATATCGTATACATTACGGTGTCTGTTAATTTGTATTTTTGAACAAAGCCAAGAATGTTGCATTGAGCTCTGTAGCATTCTTTATGCTATTTAAATTTTATCCTATCTCTTTGAAGACTCTTTGTTTCTTAAGATCGCTGATATTGGGAAAGGAAATGTATGAATACTAAAGTTGTTTTTTGATGGAAATCTTTCTCATACTTGCAATATCACTTGTCTTCCAGTTGGATTACAAGGTTGGCTGGAAGAAACTGAAAGAAGTATTCAGCATGGCTGGTGTTGTGGTTCGGGCAGACATACTAGAAGATAAAGATGGCAAAAGTCGTGGGATCGGCACTGTCACTTTTGAGCAAGCTATAGAGGCTGTTCAGGCTATATGTATCCTTGAAGAGTGATGATGGAAAATAGTAGGCAAATAACTTGGTAAACAAAGCAGAATGAAAGTATAAATTGTAGTATTACAAGTGAGGATATTGCCATGTCACAGAAAGTCAAGCCATTGCAGTGGATGGAAGACGTAAGGAAAACTGAAAAAGAGAAAAACTTCCATCTTGAAAGAATTGTTGCTGTTTGCTCAGAACCATTAACAAAGTGGATTCTCTTTCTCACGTGGATATATGTATTTCTAGCCCAAAGACTAAATTTCTGTCCCTAGGTAGTAGCTAGTATTAAAATGCAATTTCTGAGGAAAAGATTTGTCTTAAATTCCTGTGGTGGAGGTAAAGGAGGAATGCAAAAATCCATTTGCAATGTAAGATGGCTTGACCTAGTGTGTTCCTCTGTTCCCTGTGTCCTTACACTGTGCAAGTGATGGTTTGCTACATAGCAATCTACAAAAACCAACAAAGTACAGATACTGTGTGCATTGATCTCTCAACTTGTGGCTATGCTATGGAAAGGAGGAAAATATTTCCCTCTTTCCCCTCCCAAAGTTTCTCTTTCTATTTGAATGTTAATTCCATTCTGCATGTGCACCTAATAAGTTAAGCCTTGTGGGAGCAAGACTTACACAAATTTCACATGATTCACTAGTGTGGCATACTGCAAAGTTTGGCTATTTGTTGATTTGGAAATGTTGAGAACTTTTGCATGTTTTCTCCTGTTTTGAACGGCTAAAGTTACTGATGAAACATTTAAACACCTAGGCTGATTTGGAGACACGTTTTGACTGATCTCTTAATGACCTTAATCTTAAGCAGAAGAGTATTTTTAACTCATGTTTTAATTTTAAAAAGCCATTCTTTGAATATTCAGTTACTTGGATTTCAAAGCTTTTTAGTTTTGGAGAAGGCAGAAGGATTTTTGATAATCTGAGAACGATAGCTTAAGAAGCGATGTGGAGAGGTGTGGTTTTCTGACTTTTGTACTCTGCATCAGATAGCACTTAGAGCTTTAAGACTTTGTGTGGTTCTAGGGCTTGAACAATGATCCTTAATGAAACAATAGCAATGTTTAATGGGCAGCTGCTGTTTGACAGACCAATGCACGTAAAAATGGTAAGTACGTTCAAATTCTTACTGCTTTTTGAACTGGTAATTGTGCTCCTGATTTTGGAAGATGTGTGGTTTCAAGGTTGGGTTGAAATATGGGGGGGAGATGTATGACTTGCCTAACTCCTAGTGATGTCAACTCACGCCATGGGGGAAGGTTAATTCTGATTATTTTGCTAAAAGACAATCATAAATACAGTGAAGATTGCTTTAGCTTTAAGTTTCTGTATTTTAATTTATTAAAAAAAAAAAGGCAAGAAATAATGTCTGTCTTTTCTCACAAACTTTAATGTATTGAATTGTGTTTAGGACGAACGAGCCTTTCCCAAAGGAGACTTCTTTCCTCCGGAGCGACCCCAACAACTTCCTCGTAAGTCTCTCCTGCATGACTGAACATGTTGTGTTTTTTGTTTTGCTGTTCAGCAACTGGGGCCTGATCCCAGCCCCAGTAAGACTCTGTTTCAAACTTTGGAAAGCTGGAATCCAAATGGTCTGAATAATACCAAAGGGGGAAATAGTAAAGAAGAGCTGCTCAGCCTTGTCTTTTTTTTTGGATACTTCTTTCAGCTCATAGGTAGAAGCTTGTCTTAAAACAATATCCCATTCACGTTCTCAAGGCTTCCAGATCTCTCAGTTGCAATTCAAAGACCCTGATGCCTTGTAAAACTACTGTTAATAGTGGGGTTTAATGGAAACATAATTAATCAGTCAATAGGGAAAAGTGTGCCTCCTTTTACATGATGGTATTCTGGGTATCTGATGTTTTTCCTTCAGTTGAAAGAGCTGAATTGAGGACCTGAGAATCTTCCAGGCCTTCAGGTTTCTAAAGGGGATCCTATCAATGTATATAAATGTCTAAAGGGAGGGTATAAAGAAGAGGGAGCCAGGCTTTTTTCAGTGGTGCCCAGTGACAGGGCAAGAGGCAGTAAGCATAAACTGAAACACAGGAGACTCCATCTGAATATAAGGAAACGTTCCTGTGAGGGTGACTGAGTACTGGAACAACAGGTTGCCCGGAGAGCCTGTGGAGTCTCCATCCTCGGAGATACTCAAAAGCTGTGTGGACATGGTCCTGGGTAACCAGCTCTAGGTGACCCTGCTTGAGCCAGCAAGGTTGGAGCAGATGACCAGAGGTCCCTTCCAACCTCAACCATGCTGTGATAAGATACTGAAAGTATTGCACAGGAAGAGTCTGGGTTGGAAGGGAAGAGCTAGAGGCAGGAGAACACAGGCTTGATTTGTTTAAATACAGCAAAAATGTAAAGTGTGGCTGTTAACATAATCCTGTTAATTCAGCCAGTTGCTGTTTTTTTAGGCATGGGAACCAAACCTGTTGTGTGCTGCTAACTCGCACAATTTTAGCGATCATCAATCAATCCATCCTTTAATTAGTTCAGTTTTCTGTGTATCTGCCAAAGCTTTATTCAGCAGCAGTATCATTCATGGGTTTTATCGCTGCCTTAACTTTCTATAATGGTATACCTCTTTTTCAAGAGAAAGTCATTGGGTTCCAACTTAATTATCCTTGTATAAAACTCAACAAATACCAATGGAAGCCTGTTTCTTGGCCTTTATTGGGGCGGGGAAGGGATATCTTGTGTTGTTTTAAAACAAGATTCAATGCTTCCTGTGTTTATTATGCTGAGCTGTAAATGAGGAAATCCTCTTCTCATAGGCAGAGAATGCCATTAAGCTGTTGTTTGATGCAAGTGCAAGCAGAGAACTCTTTCTTCTTCATTAACTATAAGGAAAATATGAAGGCCTTTTCTTCTTTCTTTGGACTGGGGAATCCTTAATTCATTTGGGTACAGGAAGATTCAAAATTGTGCGTGGGAATGATATACTTTGTTTGCTCAGAGAAGAGGCTGGCTGTGTGCTCTGAATTCTATAGGTGGCTATCATAATGATAGGTTGAACTTTGTGGTTAAATTCTTACCTACAAGGGAAGAACCTTGGCAAAGGTGGAAATAAGCCATTTGTCAATCAAGGGTAATATTGCACAAAGGTTAGAAGATCTTTATACTAAATTGCCCACTCTATTCTCCTTAGATTGAGGAGTTGCACAAAATAAGCAGTGTTCTAGCCAGTTATTTTTCAGGAGTCAGCTTAAAACCAACCAAACAAGCAAGTTTTCTCAGCAGTAAGATGGAAAATGGACGATGAGAAAAAATACTTGAGATAGTTTTTAGTATATTTCAAGACACATCTACTCTGGATTTACTATACACTTTCATGCTTTACGTACACACCCCAAAGTGGGAACACAGCAAGCTTTTTGGAGAATGGAAGTCAATTACTTAAGAATAAAACTTGCTGTTTTGTCAAACTATGGAAAGAAGGCTTTTTTGATATCTGAATATTTTCTTCAGATGGTCTTGGTGGTATTGGCATGGGATTAGGACCTGGAGGTCAACCTATTGATGCAAATCATTTAAACAAAGGCATGGGAATGGGCAACATGGGACCTGGAGGTAAGAAGATTACTCCTATGCTTTTGTTTCATGAGAGCTTTAAGCTATGTAGAAGGTAGATAGCTTTGTTTTGCCTACACAAAAAGTTGAAGTGTATTAGGAGTGTTAAAGCCAAATGAGTTTTTGTTGAGCTAAGTAATGAGCTTGATAATGGAAACTTGAATTTAACCAACTGCTCCATTTTTTTTTCACTGTGGTCAAGGCACAGCTCTCATTTTCTGACTCTTGAGCATGAGCAGCAGACACTGCAAATATACATTAAACTTTAAAAACCATCTGTCACTTTTAACACCTATTAGTGGGCTTGCAAATCTTTGTTTAGGATATGTTTAAATAGCACAAGTTTTAAAGAGCCACCTAAAAAGTAGCACACATTCAGCTTTCAATTTATAAACGCCTATGGGTTTTTCCCCTTTGCTGCTTTATTTTCTGAGAAGGAATGTTGCAATCTACTCAGTTATCACATGTAAGCTCTTCAGTCCAGAGGGTGGACATGTTGTATGGTCTCTACTTTTACAGCCAGTCTAATGGCTGAACTTTTGTAGAATTACGTCTGCTATATAAAGCTTTCTCTTTTATTTTGAGGAATGGGAATGGAAGGCATGGGCTTTGGAATGAATAAAATGGGAGGTAAGCTGTGTTTTTTAACATGTATATAACTTGGGCTTTCTGAAAGTCATGTAAACTTAGCCATATATGTCTAGCAGGCATTTGTGTTCTTTGAACACAATTTAGTACTTTGAACACAGTTAGTCACCAATTTAGTAATAACTTGTTCCTTTTTGAGTATTAATAAAGCTGCTGAAGGCGTGTGGGGAAGGGTTAATACCTGAGATAAAACATGACCAATGTTTTTGTCATGTGCCTTGTTGAAACTGCCCTTGGCTTAGGAGATACGGTGACCAAATTCTGACCAAATTTTGTTTTGTGAATGTGTGATACAGAGTTGTCTTGGTGCCTGTGGAAATGTTCTGTGAAAGCAGCTTATGTGGGTAAAGTGCAGCGTTAAGTTGAAATGCATTGCTAAAAGAATCCCTGAAAAATATTTTCTTTTAGGAATGGAAGGTCCTTTTGGTGGCATGGAAAACATTGGTCGCTTCCCAGCTGGAATGAACATGGGCAGAATGAGTGGTAGGCATTAGTTTTTGTGTATCCAACTCCTGACTTGTGTTCTCTGAGAGTGTAACACTGGAGCGACTCTCTAGACTGGTCATTTTCCTCTTCTAAGCTTTTATTGGAAAAACTTAAAGCTTACAGCTGACGTGGTGTCCACAAATCACTCATGGCCTCTGAGCTGCAGAAAACAAGTGATTCGTTGAGGTTGTCTTGAAGGGCTAGTTTAGAAAGAGATAAGCGGTGCTCTGTCTGTATTCACCAGAAGGACTTCTCCAGCGCAAAGCAGCTGCCTCAAATGTGTTTGTCCATATGGAGATGAGTCTTGCTTTTTGTTGTTTTTTTTTGGTCTCAAGAAGACATGATAAAATGGTCAGGAGAACATAATAAAAAACTTGCCTTGCTGTTAATCTTTAAAAATTATGTCTGTATTAAAACGTTCTCTCAGGAGCCATTTAAACACCTTGAGGAAGATCTCAAACTTAATCTTTTCAGAAATGGATCGTGCCATGGGTGGAGGATTTGAAAGAGAATTTGGAAGAAATGAAATGGGAATGTCTCGTAGTTTTGGAGAGACCTTGGAGAGAGGAATAGGTAAGTACACTAAGCTAAGTACTTTTACTACCTGCTTTTCATGCCTGAACTGTACATAAAAATCACGCGTGTTTTGTTATAACAAAACAGGCTATATTTTCTGTGTACTTGCTGTAATAGTTTGTTTTTGATCAAACTCCCAAGAGCTGTACAGAACGCAGATGGATACACTAGTAGTGATCTGTGAGGCTGTGTAATGGAATTTCAGATGCGACAGGAAACCTTCTGACAGTCTTAATAGACTGCCTTGTGTCTTGAAACTTCATGCTAAACTTCCATATACGTGCGTGGCAAAGAGGAAGGTTCTGAATGATGTGTGACCCAGTCCTGTCACTAAAACATAGTCTGCGGCCTAGACAGTAGGGAGGAAAAATAAGGTGAAACCTCAATTTCCTTCCCTTCCTCCCAGACATTTTAGGAATCTGGTATAGACTCGCACATCAGATGACTGAAGAGAATGCCTTACTGTGCAACTCATGCAGCACTAAAATGGACACTCTTCTGTTGGTCTTCCCTTTTGAACCCCAGTGGGAAAAGGAAGACTATCAATATAGCAAATAACTTGGTGTAAAATATTCCTTGAACTGAGCAAGGATAGTGCAGTGCTGTTCTGTCTGTAGCAGCTTTGAGATGGCAAAAGGTATTAATCATGTTTCGTGGGAAGGTTCAGAACTAAACATTTTTAATGTCTTCTGTGAGCATCTGTTCTGTGTGTGTACAGCTTGATTTAGCCAGTTCCCAAGATTGCTCTGTTACTGCTGTTCTCTATTAATTTAATATAACTTCACTTTTAAAGAAAGTGATACAACGCAGATGACTCTTTATAAAATTGGATCTTGTATGCAAGGAAAGGTGATCTTTTTTTATAAGTAATTAAAAAAAAGACAAAAATATCCTTACCTTAAAATTAAGGTTGCAAAGCAAATACAGCTTTCAAAAAACAAAAAGCACTTAAAGCAGCAATTCAGTTATGGTAACTCACTGTGGTGTGTGGGGGGCTTTTTTTTAATAGCATAATACAATAAAAATAGTTTTGAGGGAGATAATCTTTAAATAGATAAGCAATATTATGCATTAAAACACTTTTCAAAAAAGATTACTGGAAGACTAGGAAAAACAATATTTTTAGAGTGTCAGCTTCTCTGGCAGTTATCCATTTTTTTAAATGCTACTGGTAAGATACTAAATTTTTTTTTCAGTGAGAACAAAGTCCTGCTCCTTCCCACTGCCTGTATAACGTTTAGCTTCCTAGCAAGTTGCCCAGTGACTCTCTGGAAATATGGACTATTTCAGTAATGAAGTACTCAAAACGGCAGAATTTCTGAAACAAAGCTGAACCCAAATATCTCAAATTAGGCAGACCTCCCCCCTTTCCCAGTTTATAGAATTAATTTTATTTGCTTAATGACTGAATCACAACATTTAATAACCAAGAGTTGGCTCTGCCTGCCTGCACAGGATTAGCCCTTTTCTGAGAGACTAAAACCAAACGCACAATGCTGCTGGCTTTCAGCTGAAGAAATACTAAATGTTTATTGCTGTTGTTTCTTCATTTAAAAAAAAAAAGAAGCAGCCAACTTGCTTGCACAAGTACAAATGTCACATAACCCAAAACCATTCTGTGTTATTTAAGGTGCTACGGAAGCTCGAAATACTGAAGCAGGATGTGTGCTGTTCGTAAATGTGGTTGCTTCAGTTCTCTTGAGCATAGGCTCATCTTAGGGTTACACATCTTGTTTCTCTTCGTTAAACATATGTAGATAATTTAAGTACGCACTTTCTTCAAGGCTTTTTCCCCTCAAATAGGAATCAAACTCAACATGATTTTTTTTTTTACAGTGCTGCAGTGCTAAACTTGATTTGATAGATAAACTAAGATCCTTCGAACAACAGCAGAATGGCCTAAACTATAGGGGAGTGATCCTCCTCCTGCAGGAACTTGAAGACTCTGTAGCAGGGTCAGGACAACTCAGTCAAGGGATTTTATGTGGCAGATACAGAAACCCTATTCTTGCTTGTGTTTTATGGCACAAGCAACCTTTTTATATTTCTTTCCACACTAAAAGGCCAAGCATGCTGTGTGACTTTATAATGGTCATTCTGCTGTGGTTCTTGTGTGGAATTTGCTTTCTTTTTCTTGGAGTTCTGGCGATAAGAGGGCTCTTAGGTTTGGGCAAGCTTTTATAAAAGTCTCTCCCTGGCTTGGCAGAAGCAATCTTTGAGTTGCATGGCACGGATGATGTGGTTTCATTCCTCTTCCAAGCAATCTGTATTTGAACTGTAATTTCAGTTACTAAATTACTACTCTTGCTGTGTAATCCCCAGGGTACTGCACAGGACAGCTAGCAGCTAAGACTGTATTTAAAATACTACTTTTGCCACCTGATCTTCTCCTAGGTTTGCATATGCCTTCAAAATTTTCTGCTTTGTTTTTTCTGGAAGGCTTTCTTTGTGTGTGCAGAAGTTAAGCTCCTTAGTGAAGGGATAAACTTTTCTCCATCCCAGCTATAGTATGTGGTCTGATGAGATGACTACTCCCCTAAATCATGTGTTGTAGTCATGATGGTCTGCGTAATCGACAACAGTATTCTTCTTACAATCTGAAATAAAACTTTTGCTTCATATTCTGCAGCAACAGAGCACACAGTGTGCAGTCACTGTTCTGAATGATGATAAAGCTTAAAGCATTTCAGCAGTGTAAGCATGCATTAGTTGCTTTTTTTTTGTCCCTGTATGATTACTGATAATTTGTGTGTTGTGTTCCAGGTGGTGGAAATGCCAGCATTCCTGGGATTGAGAGGATGGCACCTGGCATTGATCGTATGGGCTCGGGAATAGAAAGAATACCTTCCGGGATGGGGCATGGGATGGAGAGAGTAGGGTCAGAAATAGACAGGATGGGTCTTGTTTTGGATCGCATGAGCTCCAACGTGGAGCGAATGGGTTCAGGAATTGACCGAATGGCCCCTCTGGGCATAGATCACATTGCTCCTAACATTGAGAGGATGGGCCCAGCTATTGAGAGAATGGGTTCTGGCATAGAGAGAATGGGTTCTGGAATAGGCTTTGGTATCGAGAGAATGGGTGCTGCCATTGACCGTGTTGGCACCACTATGGACAGAATGGGATCAGGCGTAGAACGTATGGGTTCTGGCATGGATAGAATGGGTATAGGTATGGAGCGTATGGTCCCTGCTGGAATGGGAACTGGAATGGGTCAGGTCATAGAGAGAATGCCAGCTGGTTTGGATCGCATAGGTGCCACTCCTATGGAAAGAATAGGAATAGATCGTATGGGTGCTGCTAGCATGGAGAGAATGGGCTTGGAGCGCATTGGAGCCACTAATATGGAAAGAATGGGTCCTGCTATGGGACAGGGCATGGGAGCAGGCATAGATCGAATGGGACTTGCAATGGGAAGCAATTTTGAAAGAACAATGGACATGGAACGTGGAAACTTTGCAGGCAATTTTGCAGGCTCCCTTGGAGGAACTGGAGGACCTGCAGCTGGGGTGGCCAGAAAAGCCTGTCAGATATTTGTGAGAAATGTGAGTAGCCTTCTTCCTACCTCTCTTTCCTCCTGAAATTAATTGGTACTGACATGTTGATCTCATCTGTGCTCGGTTGACTTCAGTCAGGATATCTAACATTGGGTGCTGCCAAAGGTGGAGTAGGTAGGGTTTTGTAAGTTGAAGCCATTTCCTTAACAGGAGAAGAGCTCTATGCATCTGTAAATGAAGATGCTGAACAATGGCTGTCCCCAGGTGGAGGACATGTTTTGAAGAGTTGGCAGTGCTTGCAAGTTGTTCAGCAGATCCTCAGTAATGGTCTGTTCTTTTTTCACAGCTGCCTTTTGATTTTACATGGAAAATGCTGAAAGATAAATTTAATGAATGTGGTAAGTTACTTTATCGCTGGTAATTACTCTGAGAATTGAATATGAATTAAACAGTAACTCCTGCCTCTTTATGTCTCTGACACTAGTATCTTAACTAAAATTTCACTCAGACTTACTGAAATACTAGATCTTAATATTGACAAGTGTTGACAAGCAAGAGTTCTGCAGTGTTGGAAAGAAATAAATGCCTGGCCAGTTGATAACCCGGTTAACACAGGCTTTTTCTAAGCATTTGTTCCCTTCTCCATCTCAGGGGCTGGGTTTATCATGTGGATAGCCTCTTTGTAGTTGCAAAAAAAAATAGGAATAGAGCTATGGAAGTCCTGAGAACCATTGAAAAGCACCTGCACAGATTCTTTCTATCTAAATTAACATAGTTGTCTGGGAAAACTGTTCTTAAAAAAAATACCTGAAAAAATTCTGAATTCAGCTACTGGCTGTTGAGGTGTGCTGCTCAGCTTTGGGGAGTTTTTTCATGGCAGCGGTTGCTGTGCCCAGAACTTGCTCCCCAATATCGTGTGCAGCTTGTCTGATGGCAAAACCAAGTCCCAGCCTCATCAGTTATGATGTGAAGTGTGAGTTGACAAGTTGGACGCGGCTTGTTAGCTTGTGCTTTGCTCCGTTCATCTACTTCTGATGCTGCTGCTTGAGTGAGAATTGAGAGAACCAGTCTGAATTAATTAATCTCAACCAAGAACACTTCTTTCAAACAATGACTTGGTAAAGTTGTCCTGCAGCTTTAAGTTTCAAAGTAATGTTAGCTTCTAAAGGTATACTTTCTGTGGCTTAAGGTGGAGAATTGTGATTTGATAGTTATGTGGTACCTGCTAGGTTAAACGAGACCCTTTCTTTTCTTTTTAAGGTCATGTGCTGTATGCTGATATCAAGATGGAGAATGGGAAGTCTAAAGGATGTGGTGTGGTTAGATTTGAGTCCCCAGAAGTAGCTGAGCGAGCCTGCCGTATGATGAATGGGATACAGCTTCGTGGGAGGGAGATTGATGTGCGAATTGATAGAAATGCTTAAGTAGTTGCCTTTTTAACACTGATACCAGATTTTTGAATTTGTATTTTTTCTTGTTAACCATTTTAATTTGACTGGATGTAAAGGTGTTAAAACAATTCAGTTGCTTTCTGGAGTAATTTTAATTACTTTTTTAACAAATGGATTTCCATTTTACTGTTTTTTGCATTGAAACTGCAATGTGCACAATCTTTTTTTGTAGTTGTGGCATCTTGTTGACATTACAGATGTAAACAGTATGACTTTGATAATAAATGCAAGTTAAAGATTTCAGTCACAGCATCCGTTACTGGCAGCACATCCTATGCTTGCAAAAATATCTGTAAACTGAGCTCAGTAAGCTAGAATTTGTATTCTCTTGTGAAGTGTCAAGAAAGAATGTTCCTCTTGGTTGTCAGTTTATGACGGTATGAATCGGTCTTTAAAATGATGCATTTGCGCATTTGCATTAGCGTTGGAATGTCTTCGGGGTACAGGGGGACTTCCCTCTCCTGTATTCAGACCTAATCGATGACCACTCTTAGCAAAAGGCTGGTAGCTTAATTTTTCTCCAGTGGCAATGCTGATTTAAAAAAAAAAATAAAATAAAATATCCTGTATCTTCAGTTGTGTCAGTGCCATTCTGAAGGCCTGAACTGAAAATGGATTTTAAAACCTCGGTTTTGGTTTGGTTTGGTTTTTTTTTTTTCTTTCTAATGTGAAGCCTTTCAGTGGGGGCCGTGCACAGAGGTGTGTTGGTTCTGGTCAGGGGCGAGGTGCAGGTGAAAGACAGAAGGTGGGATATTTCACCTTCTCCTGCAAGAAATATAGTTTTAATGACACAAATTGAAAGGGATTATTTTTAAGTGGGAATTCTTGTGGCAGGAGAGCTGAAGCTTTAGCCAAAGACAGGATTTCTTGCCCTTTCCTCAGTTCAAGAGCCACCTGGCCTCCAAAATTAAATTCTTCTAACAGCAATGGGAAATGAAAAGACGTTCTCATTGTGGGCTTGGTTCTGCCAGCTGGACTTCGCTGGCTCAGAGGCAGTGGGATCGATTGCCTCTCGATGATCTCTCTTGCTGAGATAATCAATATCACCTCGATGGTACTAAGCAAGTGAAGAATGAGGACCAACAGGCTTTGTTGCACAAAGCTGTCATTCAAACTATAATCCCATCAGAAAGCCGTTTGAAGTGTAATCAACTGCAATTATTAAGCTAAGGTTTATCTGACTTGTCTTGTGGTGAAAGGCCCCCTGATGGTGTCTGTGCTCTGCTTTGTGATACTACTGAATTGTGCTGCAAGAGCCAGAGTGGCGTCAGAAATCCTGTATGGGGAAAAATAGTTTGAATGAGGTGTTCTAAGAATTTGTAGAGCTACTCTATAGGAAAAAAAAAAGGTCACCACTTGATCTTGGTCTCTTAACCCTTTCTCCCCTCCAACCTCAAAGATAACACCCTCTCAAGAATGCCTTCTGCATGCTTCCAACTGTTGCGTTTTAGTTCCACCTTGGCTTTCTCCATCAAGAACATCTTGCGTAAGAGGTTCCTGCCCTTTCCAAAGCCCCTTCTCTCGTTATGCTGATGGAAGTACTTGTGCCGTGAAATGCTGATGGAAGTACTTGTGCCATGAAACTGCGGAATTAAACTCGGTTGTAGTTCACCAATTTTTTTATGTTGCAGTTCATTAAGGAAGCTTTGTTTTGCACAGCTGTGCTGATGAAAGGTACACTGAAGCAGGGAATCGCAGGAACCTCCCACCAGCCCGGCTATCGCAGAAAATGCAGCCGTGAGCTGTGCTGGAGCAGGGACGTTCACTGCAGCGCTCGCTGCCCTGGGAAGAGCCGGAGGAACGCTGCAACGTCCTTGTGAGGAGAGA